GAAGGCAGACGCTTAACGACTGAGCCACTCAGGCACCCCAAGTTCCAGGGTTCTAACCTGTGCAGATTCTGTACAGTATGCATTCATACAACCAAGCCTATGTGTGGGTGCTTATTTATAAATTATTTATTTTTATTTACTAGGCATCTACTTCATAGATTTCAGGCATTATAATAAGTACTGAGAACACAGAGATGTCCACCCAGAGCTTGCCCATTCGTGATCTGGCAGAAACGAACTTCGTCAGCAACAACAGTGCAAATTTCCATCTCCTGAGAGAGGGCTGGTCTTGGATAGGGGTGAAGTGAAGGAAGATCTAGAGAGACTCATATTCATCTACCTCTTTTGAATAATGGAAGTGGGGATCATGAAGACTGGCCCAGGAGCTATGAGAGGCAGTGTTGCATGACGGCTAAGCATGCCCCTCTGGAACCAGACTGCCTATGTTTGAACTGTGGTTTTCCTATCGACAAATGTTGCAACAGCACACAAGTGAACTCCCCTGCACCAGTTTCCTCATCTGTAACTGTGAACGATGATTATCATACCTCCTCAAAAGACTGTTGTAAGGACTCAGTGAGCCAATATTCATAAAGTAAATAGAAAGGTCCCAAGCATATAGTAAGCCCTCAATAATAAAAATAGAATAATAGAAACAAAAAAATAGAATAATAGCAGTCACTTTGTACTAGAGTTCTACCATTCCTTTAGGCTCCCTGAGAAAATAAATTAGCCCCCAAACAACTGGGGAGGCACCTGTGCACACTTCCCCTACCCCCAGTCCTATTTCCTTCTAATCCACTAGTTTACCATGGAATCTTTATTGACCTAGAAACTATAAGAATCAGCTACTCATCAATGAGTCTGGTCTCTAATAAATTTTCATTGATTAGAGCCAGACCAGGGACACAGCTGGGTTATAAATGATTTCATTAGACTCTAATGTTCATGTGGCCCCTTATGCAAGAACTCTGTCCTGGATTTCCCAGCTGGGAAACACATTGAGCTCCTGATATTTATATTCATTTATTTCTTGCAATACTTGCTAGTGCCAGGCCACCCCTAGTTTAAGATCAATGACCTGATTTGTGACTTCAAGATCTGAAGTGGTATCTGTCCCCTCATCCTATTGCTGATCCTATCATCTCCCTTTGAGATTAGGACAATCTTGTAGAGGAAAGAGCAGGGAAGATACACATACACACAAAGGGGCTTCCTACAACTACTTCCTTCCCCAAAACTCTGACACTTAAAGCTAATGCTCAATTCTAAGACTTAAGTAAAGACATTGATGACAAAGAGACTTTACAGGAGTTGTTTTCAAGGATAATGGTTTCCTCTCCAGCCAATGACAGAAGTAGGTGTGAGGCAGCATCATTTGTCTCTAGCAGACTGAATTACTAAGAAGGTCAACAAGAAGCAAAGAGCTGCAATTATGGGGAAACAGCACATAAAATAAACATACCAAAAAAATGGGTTATCGTTAGGAATTACAAACATGTATGAGGTCCTATAGTAAACGAGTTACTGAAAAGAGGTCCCATATTCTAAGATTTATAGTAAATCCAAATCCATTGAGCTTGAAAGAGTTGACCACATGAATTTAAGGAACTATCAGCAAGCATAGATGGGCAAAAATAACCACTGTACTGATCTCCTCTGTCACCACACTTACCTCTTCATTTTGTAGTGAACTTTCTAATACACTTTACTTTTTTCTCTGATCATTCCTTTTATCATAGAACATTTCCTTGTTATGTGGATGCAACTGTTACAAATATTCTACTGAATATACAGTTTGGAAATATAACAGAGCTATTTTCTAGCACCAGGATCAGGGCAATGATGGAGCAAGGATCATTAAAATACAATGGAATGTACTAGCCCACAATCTTGACCTCTTTGATACACATAGGACCTCAGCAGCCACAACAATGATGACAAAAAGCTCTTCTGCAGATGGGAGGAGGCATCACATGCCTCTGGAAGAGTCAATCACAAAGAAGGCAGGTAAGAAAAATATATTTGGAGAAATAGGAGAGATATTGTTTAAGGATACAAACTTGCAACTAGTAGATAAATACGTCCTGGAGATCTAATGCACAGTATAGTGAATATAGACAAGAGTATTGGCTTATAACCACCAAACATGAAAAAAATTGCAGAAATTTTTCTATTTGTAATAGAAAGAAAAAGTAAAATATCAAAAAATGAAATTAAGTATATGGAGAGAATCATGGAAAAATTAAGAAATTTAATAGCAGTCCATAGAAAATACGGATAAATGGAACAATACACCCTGTTCCTAGATAGGTTTCTAGATTGTCTCTCTCTCTCTTTACAGCTGTATTGATATATAACTGACATACAATCAACTGCTCATATTTAAAGTGAATAATTTCAGGGCGCCTGGGTAGCTCAGTCGGTTGAGCATCCCACTCTTGGTTTCAGTTGAGGTCATGATCTCAGGGTCCTGGGATGGAGCCCTGCCTCACACCAGGCTCTGTGCTCAGCGGGGAGTCTGTTTGAGGATTCTCCCCCTCACTCCCCTACTGCCCCTCCCCCTGCTCTCCCTCTCGCTCTCAAATAAATAAATAAATCTTTAAAAATATAAACTGAATAATTTCATGAGTTTTGACATATGTATACACCCTTAAGGCCATCACCACAATCAAGATAGTGAACATAGCCATCATCCCTAAAACTTCTTTGTGACTCTGTAAACAATCTCCACCCCCAATCTCCATGCAATCACTAAACTGTTTTCTTTTTCTGTACATCAGTTTGTATTTTCTAAAATTTTAGATAAATGAAATCATACAAGAACTCTTTTTTCTGTCTTCTTTCATTTAGTATAATAATTTTGAGATTCAACCATCTTGTTGCATATATTAATGATTTCTTCCTTTTTATTGTTGAGGAATATTTCATTAGATATATACCATAATTTCTTTATCCATTCATCTGTTGATGGATATTTGGGTTGTTTCAAGTTTTTGGCTATTACAAATAAATCTTCTATAAATATTCTGTAGAAGTATTTGTATGTATATATATTTCCTCTTCTCTTGAGCAAATAGTTAAGAATTGAATGCTTTAAAAAATAGGGTATGTTTTGTTTATTTTTTTTTAAAAGCTGCCAAACTATATTCTAAAGTGATTTTGGTACCATCTTACATCCTACCAGCAGTGTAAGAGAGTTCTAGCTGTTTCATATCCTTGCCAGCACTTGGTACGGTCATACTTTTTAATTTTAGCTATTCCAAAGAGAACATAATGGCATTTCGTTGTGAATTTGAGTTTTTATAATGGCCTATGATGTTGAACATTTTTCATGTGGTTATTTGCCATCTATATATCTTCTTTGATGGAAGTGTTTTCAAATCTTTTGGCCATTTTTAATTGGTTGTTTCTCCTCTTATTACTGAATTGTAAATGTTCTTTATGTATGAAAGATAAAAGTTCTTTATCAGATGTTTGTAAATATTTTTCCCCACTTTGTGGCTTGCCTTTTTATTTTTATAATAGTATCTCTAGAAAACAGTTTTTAATTCTGATATAGTCCAACTTATTGATTTTTCTTTTATAATTTGTGCTTTTTATTTGTTAGTTACAAAATCTTTGCCTAACCTGAAGACACTGAGATTTTCTCCTATGTTTTCTTATTGAATTTTTATAGTTTTCCCTATTATGTTTAAGACTATGATCCATTTTTAGTTCATTTTTGTATAGTAACAAATTTGCATTGTTGTTGCTGATTAAGCTCTTTTCTGTCAGTTCACTAAGGACAAAGTCTAGGTGGATATTTCTGTATTCTAAGTACTTATTATAATGGCTGGTATCTACTAAGCATGAGACAAGGGTCTAGGTTCAATTTTTGTTTATAGATTATCTAATTGTCCCAGCACCATTTGTTATAAAGATTCCCCAAAGGTGCCTAGGCACCTTTGTCAAAAGTTGATTATATACATAGGGGACTATTTCTGGAATCTCTATTCTGTTCCATCTGTCTATATATCTATCTTTACACTCATATCACACTGTCTTGATGTAGCTATCTAAAAACATCTTAGGGGTGCCTGGGTGGCTCAGTCAGTTTAGCATCTGCCTTCAGTCAAGTCATTATCTCAGGGTCCTGGGATTGAGCCCCACATCAGGCTCCCTGCTCAGTGGGGAGTCTGCTTCTCCCTCTCTCTCTGCCCCTCTCCCCCTCGTGTGTGCACTCTCTCTCCCTCAAATGAATAAATAAAATCCTTTCTAAAAAATCTTATAATTTTTTAACGTATAAGGTATAAAGGTATAAACCCTCCAACTTTATCCTTTTTTAAAATTACTTTTGCTATTCTATGTCCTTTGCATTTCCATATAAGTTGATTAATTTCTTCAATAAAGTCTGTATGGATCTGAATTGCAATTGTGTTGAAGTTACACATCAATTAGAAAAGAATTTATATATTAGCAATGTTGATTCTTACAGTTCTTGAACATGGTATATGTCTCCATTTACTTAGGTATTCTTTAATTTCTCTGTAATGCTTTATAGTTTTCGGTATACAGGTTGTACTCATCTTCTGTCAAGTTTATTCCTGAGTGTTTTATATTATTGATGCTATTGTAAATAAAAATTATAAATTTCAAATTCTGATTATTCACTGCAAGCATAAGAAATAAAATTGATCACCTTTATTGAACACATATCCAGCAACCTTGCCAGACTCACTTTTTCCTTATACTGCATTTCTTTTGTAGAGTCTATAGATGTTTTATTATAGGAATTGAATTTAAATAAGAAGATGAAAAAAATATAAATAAATAAATAAATACAAATGAGCAAACATTGAAGAAAAAATAAAGATAGAAACTGACTCTCAAATATAGAGAACAAACTAATGGTTACCAGAGGAGGGGTGGGTGGGGGGATGGATGAAATAGGTGATGGGGATTAAAGAATACACTTGTCATGATGAGCACTGAGCAAAGTATAGAATTGTTGAATCACTATATTGTATACCTGAAACTCATATTACACTGTATGCTAACTAACTAAAATTTCAATTAAAATGCACAAAAAAGAAAAATAAGAATATAAATAAATAAATAGGAGATGGGGATTAAGGAGTGCACTTATGTGGTGAGCATCTGGTGTTGTATGGAAGTGTTGTATTACTATGTTGTACAAATGAAACTAATATTACACTGTATGATAACTGGAATACAAGTAAAAATTAAAAAAAAAAAAAAAGAAATTGACAAACTATGGCCAGTAAACAAATACAGGCAACTACTGTTTTTTGTGCGATCTATGGGCTACTTGTATGGGCTAAGGATGACTTTTACATTTTTAATAGTTACATGTTGGACGATTGAGTATCAACATAATATCTTGATTTTATCTCTTAGACTACAAACCCTACAATGTTCACTCTCTGGCCCTTTATAGAAAAAGTTAGCCAATTCCTATTTATAGAGTTAATCATGTTACCTGAAATTAGTTTTATTCTGTCCTTTCCAATTGACATGACCCTTATTCCTTTTCTTGCTTTTTGCCCTGGGGAGAAACTTCATTTTTATATTGACTAGAAGTGGTGAGAGCAGAAATTTTTGCCTTAGTCTCAGTCTTAGGGGGAAAGCATTTATTCTTTCACCAGTAAGTTTCATGCTAGCAGTAGGTTTTTCTTAGCTGAGCTTGGTCAGATTGAGAAAATTTCCTTCTATTCCTAGCTTACTAAAAGTTCCTATCATGAATAGGTGTTGGATTTTATCAAATATATTTTTGTATTAATCAAGTGGATAATTTTTGTTGTTTTTGTCTGATAATATGGTGAATTACACTGGTTCATTTTTGAATGCTATTTAGATTAAAACACTTTTTTTTTTAAGATTTTATTTTATTTATTTGAGAGAGAGAGAAAACGAGAAAGCA